CTTTTCGGCCTACGTGGCACTATCCTTGAAAAAAATGTCAACATACGCTGGGCCCACAAGACAGTGCCACGTAGGCCAAAAAGGGGTAAAATATTACATATAAAATAAGTTCGGGGGGGTAATAGGACCTTAGTAAAGGTTAGGTGTGTCTCTGGGATTTCGGGTATAGGCTGGGGGGCTACTTATGCATTTTCCCAATAATAAATGAAACAAGTTTCATCTTGCATGTTTTCTTTTATCATATTTTATATATATGCAGTAATACCTAGCTAACACACTAATATTGGAATATTGAAGAGGTGAAGATGGTATACTTCAAAAGTTTTTTTTTTTTAGATAAGTCAAATATATTGAAGAATTATTCATTGACATAAAATAAAAATTGTTGAAATTATAACCAGACTCGTTTTTCAGGTTTATACAAGAGGGAGGACTAACTCACCTAGCCATCACGGTAACAAATAAATGATTTAGTGACAATAATATAATTGTCGTTATATTGTATTGGGATAAGGCATAACTACCTCTGAACTATACCTGAAATTCTAATGACACACCTAAATATAATTATGGTCCAATTACCCCTTTAAACTATTTTAAAATATAATAAAGCAAATACTGACGTGACGCATATAGTATGCACACTCTCTTTAAGGCAATTAAAGACTACAAAAATAACTTTGAAAATGTTAAATCCAGCTGCCCAGCTTGAATTGAAGCTTCGGAACTTTCACCATTAATGGTGTGAGATTGACCTTATCAACACTCAATCAGAGAAGAAGAGAAAGACTTAGAAACTGAATTCTTATTTCTGAAAACTGATTAGGAATGAATACAAAACATCTATTTATAGAGTGAGGCTAACAGCATCTATCCTAACTAACTTGTAACCAACTTGAATTAATACAAGTATCAGTAACAATTAAATATCTAACTAACTTGCAGCTTAACTAATTCGTAACTGACTTCTGGGCTTATATATCTTTTAACTTCTAGCTTCAATAGAAAATAATTACAAGTACAAATGTCATTTTTAATTGGATATTACTTAATTAATTAAGTCTAATTAATTAGACTCCTTCTTCATCTTCTAACTCCTCAATCCTCATGGTGGATCATCATCAGCAAATCATCAACAACATAAAGAGTTAGCAAAATCATCATTAGAAGAAAGAGATTCAGAATTAAGAAACAGAAAAAGGAATTTTAGTGAAAAAAAAGAAGAAGATTTAATGCTTAAAAAGAAGATAGGTGTGTAATACACATAAATGATATTTATCTGGTTATTTATGCTAAGTCAATATTTAGGGTGATATTTATTTCATTTTAAAATAATTTTAAAGGTTAATAGAACCCTAAAATGTCACTAAAATTTTGGGTATAGTTCGAGTGAGTATTATGTCTTATCCCTATTATATTTAAGGCTAAATGGTCTGGTGGACCCTTGTACTTGTACTCGTTTGTATTGTCAACCCTTCTACTTATCCCTTTGTCATCTGAACCCCCGAATTCATTTAAACTCAACATGTTGAACCCTTTCAACTCATCGTGACTCTCAATTTTGCCACATCATTTTTTATTTTTTATAATAATTTCTTTTTGGACAACCTTGCATACCATTGCCTGCTTGCTTGTTTAAGGCCATACAATGATCTATTTAACTTGCAAACTAAGTCAGAAGATCCAACGGCCAAACCTTGTGGTACATCCATGTAAACTTCTTCATGCAGTTCCCCATGAAGGAATGCATTATTGACATCTAACTGAAAAATGTCCCAGTGTTTCTTGGCTGCAGTGGCTAATAATGTCCTGACTGTTGTCATCTTGACAACTGGAGAAAAGGTTTCAGTGTAATCAACTCCTGCATGTTGTGTATATCCTTTCACCACTAGTCTAGCCTTTAATCTCTCTATGCTACCATCTGCCTTATGTTTGATCTTATACACCCATTTACACCCAATAGGCTTCTTACCATGAGGCAGGGGAACCAGGTCCCATGTGTGATTCTCATGCAGTGCACTGAACTCCTGTGTCATAGCTGTCTGCCAGGCAGGGTTCATAGCTGCCTCTTCATATGACATTGGTTCACAATCATGAGATATGTTCATCACAAAAGACTGACTATCAGGTATCAATTCTTCAGGAGCAATGTGATTTTTGTGTGTAAAGGAGGAAGAGAGGGAGAGTGAGCTAGCTTTTGGCACATGACGGATGTAATCATTCAAATAAGATGGTGCCTTATGACTTCTAGTAGACTTTCTTAGTACAGGAGCCTCATCAGGAGGTGCAACAACTGGAGAATTAAGTGGAGGTGTAGGAGTTAATGAAGGTAGATCATCATGTGGCAAGGTAGAACTTGGAATGGAAAGGTTATTCTGACCACACTGATCAATGGGAAGATCAGTAGTAATATTATTTTGGTCAGGATAAGAGGAGAAAAAGTTAGGAATGCTGGAGTAATAAAAAGGAGATGCAGGAAAGTTGTAAGTGTCTTTTGTTAGTGCGAAAGGGAAGATGTTTTCATGAAATATGACATCCCTGGAAACTTGAATTTTTCTGGTATCTAGACTTAGTACCTTGTATCCCTTTGTGGTAAGAGAGTAGCCTATGAAGACATGAGGTTTGGTCTTGGGATCGAACTTGGTTCTTTGGACTCTTGGTATGGTAGGATAGCATAAACATCCAAAACTCTTCATGTGAGAGTATGAAGGTCTTTGTTGGTGTAAAAGCTCAATGGGACACTTGTTGTGAAGTATTTGTGAGGGTAATCTGTTTATGATATAAGTGGCTGTCAAAATGCATTCCCCCCAGTATTTTGTTGGTAATTTGGACTGAAACAAAAGTGCCCTTGCAGTTTCAAGCAAATATTTGTGTTTCCTTTCCACCACACCATTTTGTTGTGGTGTGTGTGGGCAAGTTTTCTGATGTGTGATGCCTTTGGATTGAAAGAAAGAGTTGGTCTCATGATTGGAAAATTCTAACCCATTGTCTGATCTAATGGTCTTTATTGTGGTTTGAAAATGGTTTTCTATCATAGATATGAAGGTTTTGACCACATGTAGAGCATTGGTTTTGCTACTTAGTAGGTGTGTCCATGTAGCCCTACTATAGTCATCCACTATAGTGATGAAGTAGCTGAAGTTATCATATGTTTTGGTGTGGTAAGGACCCCATAGATCTATGTGTATTAAATCAAAGCATTTAGTAGAGGTAGTTGTTCTAAGGGGAAATGGTAGTCTAGATTGCCTTGCCATGGGGCAAATTGGACAGAAGAAAGGTTGTTTTGGGGAGAATTGAACTGGTATTGAAGTGATCTTTTTCATTTTAACAAAGGGAACATGGCCTAATCTATAATGCCAAAGTAGGTCAGTAGTATTATCATGAGACATTGAGGAGGGATGAACAGCAGAATTAACAGCAGTGCTATTATGAGACACAAAAGAATCAGGAACAAGAACACTGTCTTTATTAGCAGCAATTGAATTTGTTACATCATAAGGAGAGGGATAACATGAATGAGAATAACACTGACATTGTGTATTGTTTACAGTAGACATATGAGAAGGAAAACAGGAAACAATGCTGCTGTTCTTTTGTAAACAGTGTGAACATAGGAAGTATAAGCCATCATGGACTCTACCAATCTCCAGAGGCCTCTTCAGTGAAGGGGCCTGTAGTAGACATAAAGAATCAGTAAAGGAAGTGACACACTTAAGGTGAGTGGCTAGGGAACATATAGAGATGAGATTGTATTTGAAAGTAGGAATAAAAAGAACATTGGATAGAGTAATTACGGGAGACAATATCACAGTTCCAACTTGAGTTACTTTAACTCTATATCCATTTGGTAAGTTGACAAGTATGGGATATGGCAATGTAGTGAGTTTAGTGAAGTGATTTTTGTTAAAGGTTATGTGATGTGTTGCCCCTGAGTCCAAGATCCATAGATCAGCTTTAGTTTTGAGACATCCACATGAAAGTTTATCAAAGTTAACAGAAGAGTTACAAGCTATCATACCTGCGAAGTTGACAGCTCCACTTGTAGAATGTGGCTCAGGGAATGCACCCTTCATGTTGACTCCTTGAAAGTGTTGTAACATGCTAACCAAGTGATGGTATTGCTCTGTGGATAAGGTGCTCAAGGGTCCATTCTGACCAATCTGAGTATTGTCACTACTCTCCTTCGAATCAGACTCAGATAATTCACCATGCACATTAGCAGCAATGCCTTTTCCTTTATAGCCTTTGTAGTTGGAGTTCCTATGGTTATCATTAGGACCAGGATTGGTTTTATTAGGATATCCATGAAGCTTGTAGCACTTGTCCTTGATGTGACCTAACTTCTTACAATACTCACAGAAAGGTCGTGTCCTCACATTGCCACTCTGTGTGTAATTAGTTTGGAACCCTCTAGTAGATGAGGGACCACCACTGTTCCTAGATTGTCCACTGGAAGTGCTTGAATATAATGAAGAAGATGCTGTGAAAATCTGATTATTGGGCTTGAACTCTCTCTGCTTCTCTTCCTGAATGAGCAAGGCAAATGCTTGACCCATGGAAGGGAGTGGTTTCATCATAAGTATACTTTCTCGAATGATTGTATAGACCTCATTCAGACCCATAAGGAACTGAATCAATCGCCTCTCTTGTTCGGCCTTATGCATAGTGGCCTTGGCTCCACAATTGCAAAGGCAGTTGCACTGACTTTTAACACTCAATGTGTGGAGTTCCTCCCAGAGCTTTTTCATCCTAGTATAGTAAGAGGTGATGTCTAGAGTACCTTGGCTGAGATCGTTAATTTCCTTTTGGATTTGAAACAGCTTCGCTCCATTGGTTTGGTCATAGCGATCCTGTAGCTCACTCCATAACTCCAGTGAATCGAACACATACTCAACACTGTCTGCAATTTCCTTGCTCAGTGAATTCAAAATCCAGGAAGTTACCATAGCATCACAACGTTCCCATTGTCGATTATCAGGGGAATCTGGGGCTGGCTTCATGCATTCCCCATTGATGAACCCTAATTTGTTTTTCACTGAAAGGGAGCGTAAAACACCTCTCTTCCATGAACTGAATCCAGTTCCATCGAAAGCAACAGGGACCAACACTGCACCTGCGCTATCAGAGGGATGAATATACAATGGACCTCCCACAATTAGAGTTGTGGGAGTGGGAATGGGCTGATTAACGATTGGATCCTCAACATCCACCATCAGAGAAACGAATTGAACAATGTGAAAAAAGCTGGGAATCGAAAGAAGAGAAAAAAAAAAAATTGCAGCGAAGGAACAGATTGATGCGAGCAAAATTATCAGATTAAAAGTCTCTAATGCTCTGATACCATGTTAAATCCAGCTGCCCAGCTTGAATTGAAGCTTCGGAACTTTCACCATTAATGGTGTGAGATTGACCTTATCAACACTCAATCAGAGAAGAAGAGAAAGACTTAGAAACTGAATTCTTATTTCTGAAAACTGATTAGGAATGAATACAAAACATCTATTTATAGAGTGAGGCTAACAGCATCTATCCTAACTAACTTGTAACCAACTTGAATTAATACAAGTATCAGTAACAATTAAATATCTAACTAACTTGCAGCTTAACTAATTCGTAACTGACTTCTGGGCTTATATATCTTTTAACTTCTAGCTTCAATAGAAAATAATTACAAGTACAAATGTCATTTTTAATTGGATATTACTTAATTAATTAAGTCTAATTAATTAGACTCCTTCTTCATCTTCTAACTCCTCAATCCTCATGGTGGATCATCATCAGCAAATCATCAACAACATAAAGAGTTAGCAAAATCATCATTAGAAGAAAGAGATTCAGAATTAAGAAACAGAAAAAGGAATTTTAGTGAAAAAAAAGAAGAAGATTTAATGCTTAAAAAGAAGATAGGTGTGTAATACACATAAATGATATTTATCTGGTTATTTATGCTAAGTCAATATTTAGGGTGATATTTATTTCATTTTAAAATAATTTTAAAGGTTAATAGAACCCTAAAATGTCACTAAAATTTTGGGTATAGTTCGAGTGAGTATTATGTCTTATCCCTATTATATTTAAGGCTAAATGGTCTGGTGGACCCTTGTACTTGTACTCGTTTGTATTGTCAACCCTTCTACTTATCCCTTTGTCATCTGAACCCCCGAATTCATTTAAACTCAACATGTTGAACCCTTTCAACTCATCGTGACTCTCAATTTTGCCACATCATTTTTTATTTTTTATAATAATTTCTTTTTGGACAATTATTAAATAAAAGGTAAATTAATAAATTTTAAATTGATTATTTAAGAAAAAATTGGGACTCCACGCCTCCACTCCGGTTGCAACCGCGTAACATCCAAAATCCACTGGCGAATGTCGCCGCACCACCGCTCCTCTCGCCGGCAAGACCTGTACTTTCTCCTTCATCGTCTCCATCTCCATCGCAAACCCTCACTATTTTCTTTCCTCCTTCTCCAACCACCACAAAATCAGCAACCCTAAGCCGCCACACCACCGGTGACCCCCCTGTGAATCATCAACGACAACCTCTCCTCTCCGTGCTCTCCGTCTATCAACAAACACCCTCGTCGCCTCCCGTTCTAGCGAAAAGGTATCAGTGTTGCCTTTCTCTCTCTCACTCCACTGCAAATCAATGGACTCCAGCGAGCATTGCCATAAAATCAACCAATGCCCTCTCTCCCTCCCTGATAATAGCTTGAAACTTGACGTCAAGGAGGTCCCAATGCCAAATATCCGTTAAAGATCAAGATGACCATAGGTGTGGAGAAGAAGAAAAGTAGTTGGGGCAGGGATGGGGATGGCAGCGAAAAAGTGGGTGGAGTTGAGGGAAAAAGAGGGATCTTTTTAAATTTATTTTTATTATTATTATTTTAATATTTTAAGTTTAAATATGATGTTCACTTGCCTTCAGATGCGTGTAGTCACACTCTCTCGCCAACTCAGCCATCTTAATGCCACATAAGCTTGGTCAATGGTCAGAGGGATTTGATATATTGTGTTTTATTGAGTTTAAGGGCTCAATTGGTAAATGATTAAGTAGAAGGGTCCATAATACAAACTCGGACAAGTATAGGGGTCCATTAGACCATTTCGCCTATATTTAAAGATAGTTTAAATTTCTAAATCAATGTAATACTAAAGAACAAATATTCAATATTATTGTCATTCTGTTGATTTTTTTTTTTGTTAGGATTAGTATTAATTTGATTTTGAATTGAGCTTTATTAGATTTACTATTATCTATAGACTATAACCTTTATTGGACCATTCAAAATTCTAAGTCTAAAAAAAACTTGAAAAAATATGTTAAAAGATAAAAATTATGAAAAACTTTAAGAAATATTTAGAAATTATATCAAAGTAAATATTTTTTATGTATAAAGTAAAACTTAAAATTATATATATACAATGTCGGATTAGTTTGGTCTCGGATTTTTTCCAATCCACTTATAGTCGAATTTTTTTCTCTAATACCAAAACAAGTCAAACCAAACCATTAATCAATTTTTTTCCCAATTTAACTCAATTTACGATTTAATTTAATTTTCGATTTGAATTTGTACACCAATACTTCTAATACTTTTCTGGAAGGTTTCTTTGAAGTTTGAGTAGATCACTAGTGACTAGACTATCAATTTCACGTCTAGTTGAATTCAATTATTGGTAACCCAATCATGTGGGCTGGCTGCTAAGAGAATGGGAAAACTTGAAGTAATATTCTGAATTTCTTAGCCATGACACATAAGTAATATTCTGAATTTCTGATTAAACACGATATACAATATGCCAATACATTTTCCAAATAATATTTTACAAATCAAATATCAATTCAAGACTACAACAAGTAAAGTCTTACCACCAGAATAGCTTAGACCTAAACTCACCAAAATAAGCCGATACTATTGACTAAAAATCCTGCATAGGCCATTGTTTCATGAATTAGACTTCTCTTTTAAGTCGTTAGTCCATTCAAAATCATTGAATGTGAAAGAAACGTACAAAACCAAGTGGCAAAGACTCAATGTTAGTCCTATCAATTCATATTCATGCAATATGTCCCAATGGTGTTAATTATATGTGTCACCATCATATATTTTCCCTATAAATAGACAACTTTGGTACTCATATCATTCCACAAAACTTATATTGAATCTATTGTATTAAGTTCCATCAAGAAGTATTAAGTTCCATCAAGAAATTAAAACATGGTTTACTCTTCTTCCCATCTTCCATTGCTTTTATTCACTCTTTTCCAACTAATTGTGATTCAAAACCATTTGTTTTGCAAAGCTGATCCTACTGATGGTTTCACTCCCATATCCATTAGCCAAAGCAATTTCGAAATTCAAAAGCCTTATGATGTGCCTGTGAATCAAAGATATTCCTTCATTGATGGAGTACACAAATTTTGGGTTTACAAGACTGACAAGCCTCATACTACCTCTAGCCAAACAAAACCCCGTTCTGAAATTCGAATAAAGGTAAAGTCCAAAGAAAATTTCATCAATTTTCAATTACTTGTGTATTGATTTGTCGGTTATATTGTCAATTACTATGTCATCATAACACACAAGAACACTACTAGAAAATAAGAAATTAGCAACAGACAAAATTCCGCAGCTATTACATATTTTCTCATAGTGAAAGAATCTAATATTATAGTGATTATTTTTTGATTTATTTATTAATTAATGTTATTATATAGGGGAATGATTATTCATCTGGTGTTCGACAATTTGAGGGATATTTTTATGTGCCAAGTGGTTCATCTGGTGTGTCAATAATGCAAGTATTTGGAGCATCACCATCATCCACAACTTTAATGTTAAGAGTTTATGATGGAACTCTCTATTACTATAGAGAAAAAGTTATTGAATCAAATATTTATAATAGATGGATCAGACTAAATGTGATTCATGATGTTGGTGCAAGTAAATTAAAGGTTTATATTAATGGAGTTCTCAAGCATGAACCTTCGGGAAGAGGTGGAGACCACCATTATTTCAAATTTGGAGTTTATACACAAGATAATGAGTCTGATCGAATGGAGTCTCGTTGGAGAGGGATTAAACTTTTCAAGAAATAAATATCTATCACGTATAGTGTCTTAACATGATCGAGCGGACTAGCTCTATATGAATCATGAAACTTATAATAATCTTGTCTATGTAATTTCATTTAATTTAGAAATATGATGTATTAAGACAAATAAATCATCCTCTTAGATTTATGATCTTGAGGTTGAGTTGAATAAGATTTTATAAAAATAAATGAAACAAGCTTTAATCAATATAGCATAAAATTCCCATTTCATTATAGATAAGTAAAAGTCCACATAAGACGATGGTCATATGTATTTTCAGCCCAAGTAGAACGTTCTTTTGAATCGCTAGGATTTGCGGTTCTAAGGCTTACTATTAACTTAGACATTATTAATTAAATCATAAATAAAAAAGTAATAAATGAGTAATTGAGAAAAAAAATTCTAGTAAACTGAAAAAATATCTCAAGGCTCAAATAAAAATGATAAGCTTAGACATGATATAATTAGTCACTTGAGAAAGTAAGAATGATTTATCGAAATATCAATAATCTCCTCTTAATTAGCTACTAGCTTTCAAGAAAGACAAATTAATTTATAATAATTATATAAACTACCTATTTTTTAATGAGTTGTTCAGCAATTTTTGCCATTAATACAAGATCAAATTGTTTTCTACTTCTATCTAACATTTCAGGTGTTGTCTTACTACCAAATACATTCTGACAATCACTCACAAATTGGGGATACTTTGCAAGGTCATTTTCCACGCCATTATAATCCTTATTAGCTAATGATTTAGCAGCATCTTGGAGCACGGTTAACAACAATCCATAACTGTTGTCACAAATACTATATATACAACTCTTTGGTTTCTTTGTCTTTTACATTTGCTTTAGCTGTCTCTACGAAAGCATGGTTGTCGTTAGCATTTTGTAATGATTTGGTGATAGCTGCTTGAGTTACTTCTTCAGGAACATATGGATGAGAAGGTATAATTTGTCTAAAAGTGGTTAAGCAAAACTGAAGATCTTGTACTTGTCTGCATTAATGTCACATAAAGAGGTTTGAAAGTTGAAAATGTTTGCAACAAATACTAAAGGAAGAAAGTATGAAGTAAAAAAGAGAAGCCATTTTAATTTCTTCAATAATTGTTATTCTGATTTTTGAAGTTGATGCAAGTGAATATATATAGGGATGACATTGAAGCAACATAAGAATAAACATAAATTTTATTACCTTATTATCTATTTCAAAAATCTATGACATATATAGAAATAATGTTAAGTTATTTACTTCTTCGACTTCCAATCATATATAGAAATAATGTTTAATTTTGATATATTTCTTCCCAACTAATTAAGTTATTTCCTCATATGAATAAAACATATTTAGTAAAAACATAATAATTATTAACAAAATTATTTTGAGTTCTTTTCCAAAAACATACTTCTATTTCAGGCATATCCCCTCTATTTTATTTTACTTGGGTTTTATTAAAAATAAATTATTATTTTTTACTGTTCAATTTAACAAATTAAAAGATTTTTTTCTCCCAATATTATCTTTCTCACTTAATAATTATTCTCTCCGTTTCAAAAAGTGTCGTCTAGTTTGACTTGACACGGAGTATAAGAAAATAAAGAAGACTTTTGAATCTTGTGGTCCTAAATTAAAGTAATATTGTCAAATGTACAAAATTGTCCTTTAATCTTGTGGTCTTAAACATGCCACGTGGAAAGCTGAAAGTAAAATGTTACAAAAAAAGAAAAAGATCATTCTTTTTTAAACAAACTAAAAAAGAAAGAAAGTCATTTTTTTTTAAACGGAGGGAGTATATAAATTGATAATGGTCCAACTTAGATTTTCAAAACATAATTAATTTCTTTGTTATTCCTTGTTTGGTTACTAATTCTCAAATAAGTTATATCTGGATAGTAATTGTATTGAGATAAGTTATTTGTGCTCGAGGGTGGAATAATAGTATTGTGATTTGAGATTAGTTATTCCAAAATAAAACAACGATAACAACAAAAATACCCCTAAGGTCGCTAAAAGAAATTCTACTAAATATGGTGATGGATATTTTTATAATAAACAACTTCTTAAAAATTATGCAATGAATATTTGTATTAATACAACAAACCAAGTCAGCTTCATATAGTCTAGGTATCAAGGGAAGACTTCCAAATCAAGTCAGCTTCATATAGTGTATGTTGTGTTCCCAACAATGCACTGTAGCTCTTAGAAACTAGATAATCTCAATTACCTATGTGGATATACTTCTCATTCCTATGCGTCATGACTAAAAATTGAGCGTAATGACACTCGTCTTATTCCATCAAGGCATGTCAATATAAAACTCAATTATATTATAAAA